CCTAAATTACTGATAATAAAATAGTTATTATGGGCAAGGAGTTTAATAATATTAGTTCTTTTTATCATTACTGAAACATTGAAAGCTAACTATTGATCAAACAACCTGGCACAGCCTATGACAATTTTTTGAAGGGGCTCACTAGATTGTCCACACTGGTGGAAAACTGTATGAAGCCCCCTGTATTTGTGTAATCTGATTTATTATTCCACCCCCAAGACACTTTCTTAGACTGTCATGGCCTGATTCTTGATATTGAAGCTGCCATTATAGCATCGAATCATAGAAACTTATTGCACCGAAGGAGACCATTCAGCCCATCCTATCCATGTTGTATCCAACCAAAACCCAGTTTCCAGTTCTTGGTCTTGATCTGTAGCCATGTGTATTTTAAATGATATGATTGTTTCTGCTTTTCCGACATTTGCAGAAGTTCAACGTTTCCACCAAGTCCCCTTCAAAACCCCTCCTATCTTTTACTTGACCCCACTACTGCAATGATAATGCATCTAGTTTGTTCCATGGAGTTACTCAAGCTTACTGCATTAATATAGTCACTTGTGCGAACACCTTAAATTGGTGTAAGCACAAACAATGACTTTTCATCTTGGATTTTTTTATCTTGCCTGTTGTGGTTGGCTATTGTTGGCATTATAGTCCAAGAATATTTGAATGTGATAGAGACGGAGATGGAGAAGGAGAAGGGGAAGGGGAAGGAGATGGAGAAGGAGAAGGGGAAGGGGAAAGGGAAGGAGATGGAGAAGGAGAAGGGGAAGGGGAAGGGGAAGGGGATGGAGAAGGGGAAGGGGAAGGGGAAGGGGATGGAGAAGGAGAAGCGGAAGGGGAAGGAGATGGAGAAGGAGATAGAGATAGAATGTTGTGAGTTAATTAGAATATTTTCAGTTGCGTAATTTGACATTTCCCTGGACCCCATCAGTTATTTTCATGAATTACAAAAACAAGATAAATTCAAACACTTAGAATGGACCTGACCAATGAATTTAATTTAAATTTAACAATCTAAGTGGAAGCAAAAATTATACACTTGGATTAAATTTTTGCTTTGTGCCTACAGCCTCCTCAGATGAGGAAGCAGGATTTTCCAATCTCTTTAAGGTCACACAGTGCCTGCAGCTAATGCCTTGTCAAATGCAATCAGTTTGTACAAATGAACATACTGTGGATGCGCTGATTTAAACCATCAAAGATAAAAATGCAAACACCCTTAAGACTAATTCTTGACCTTACATCAGATTTCATCACATTCTTGATTCCAGCAGAGTTTTAACTGTGACAGAAAAATCGATGTTGTTCTCTTTTCTCTAAGTTACAAAGTCTGCAGTTGCATGAAAGGTAAACTCTCCTCATAAAGTCATCATATGAACAGCCAACTCAAAACACCCATCTATTAGCAATAAGGGAGGCTATTTCCTCATGGTACTATTGCTAGACTATTAATCCTGAAACTCAGCTAATGTTCTGGGGACCTGGGTTTCAATCCTGCCACGGCAGATGATGGAATTTGAATTCGTTAAAAATATCTGCAATTAAGAATCTACTGACGACCAAGAAACCATTGCCAATTGTTGCAAAAACATACCTGGCTCACTAATGTCCATCAAGGAAGGAAATCTGCCATCCTTACCTGGTTTGGTCTAGATGTGACTCCAGACCCACAGTAATGTGGTTTACTCTCAACTGTCCTCTGAAATGGCCTAGCCAGTCACTCAGTTGTATCAATTGCTATGACGTCTCAACAAAGAATGAAACTGGATCACCCAGCATCAGCCTAGGCCCCAGAAATGACAATAGCAGAAACAGCCCCATCAACCCTGCGAAGTCCTCCTTACCAACATCTGGGGGCTGGGGCCAAAATTGGGAGAGTTGCTTCACAGACTAGTCAAACAACAGCCTGACACAGTCATACTCATAGAATCATACTTGACAATATCCCAGACATCCACCATATCTGGATGTGTCCCACTGGCAGGACAGACCCTGTACAGGTGGAGGCACAGTGATATACGCTTGGGAGGGAGTTGCCCTGGGAGTCTTCATCTTTGACTCTGGACCCCACGAGGTCTCAAGGCTTCGGGTTAAACATGGTCAAGGAAACCTGTTGCTGATAACCACGTACTGTCCTCCCTCGGCTGATGAACCTGTACTCCTCCATGTTGAACAATACTTGGAAGAAGCATAGAGTTGGCAAGGGTGTAGAATGTACTGTAGGTGGGGGATTTCAATGTCCATCACCAACAGTGGCTCAGCAGCAGCAATGCTGATCAAGCTGGTTGGGTCCTAAAGGTCATAGCTGCTAGACTGGGTCTGCGGCAGGTACTAAGGAAACCAACAAAAAGGAAAAACATACTTGATTTCATCCTTGCCGGATGCATCTGCCCATGACAGTATCAGTAAGAGTGACCAATGCACAGGCCTTGTAGAGACAAAGTCCTGCCTTCACATATAGAATATCATCCATCATGTCGTGTTACACTATCACCAAACTAAATGGGATAGGCTTCGAACAGATCAAGCAAGTCAAGACTGGGCCTCCAAGAGACACTGCGAGCCATCTGCAGCAGCAGAATTGTAGTCCAGCACCATCTGTAACCGCACAGCTGACATATCCCCCACTCAACCATTACCATCAAGCCAGGCGATCAACCCTGGTTCAATGGAGAGTGCAGGAGGGCACGCCAGGAGCAGCACCAGGCATAGCTGAAGATGAGGTGTCAACCTGGTGAAGCCACCAAACTTGTGTGTCAAGCAGCATAAGCAGCAAGTGGTAGACCTAGACACAGCAGTGCAAAAGATAAGGCTGACATCAAGTAGCCCTGGCAAAACAGGAATCAATGGGCTTCAGGGGTCAAACTGTCTGCTGGTTGGAGACATACCTAGCACAAAGGAAGATGGCAGTGGTTGTTGGAGGTCAGTCATCTAACTGCAGGACCTTTCTGCAGGAGTTCCTCAGGGGAGTGTCCTAGGCCTAACCATCTTCATCTGCTTCATCAATGACCTTCCCTTCATCATAAGGTCAGAAGTGGGGATGTTCGCCGATGATTGCACAATGTTCAGCGCCATTCGCAACTCCTCATATATTGAAGCAGTCCATGTTTAACTGCAACAAGATTTAGACAATATCCAGGCTCGGGCTGACAAGTTGCATGTAACATTCACACCTCACAAATGCTAGGCAATGACCATCACCAATAAGAGACAATGCAACCACTGTTCCTTGACATTCAATGGTGTTACTATCACTGAATCCTCCACTATCAACATCCTGGGGGATACCACTGACGCGAAACTCAACTGGAGTTGTCATATAAATATAGTGGCTACAAGAACATGTCAGAGGTCAGGAATACTGCAGTGAGTAAGTCACCTTCTGACTCCACAAAGCCTGTCCACCATCTTCAAAGCACAATCAGAAAATAATGGAATACTCCCCACTTGGCTGGAAGGGTACAGCTCCAGTAACATTCAAGAAGCTTGATACCATCCAGAACAAAGCAGCCTGCTTGATTGGTACCACATCCACAAGTCCCTCCATCACTGATGCTCAATCGCAGCAGTGTGTACTATCTACAAGATGCACTGCAGAAATTCACCAAGGCTCCTTAGACAGCACCTTCCAAATCCATGACCACAACCATCCAGAAGGACAAGGACAACAGATACATGAGAACTCCATCGCCGGCAAGGTCCCCTCCAAACTACTCACCATCCTGACATGGAAAATACTGCCGTTCCTTCACTGTCGCTGGGTCAAAATCCTTTAATTCCCTCCCTAATGGCATTGTAGGTCGACCCATAGCACGTGGACTGTGGTGGTTCAACAAGGCAGCCCAGCACCACTTTCTCAAGGGCAACTAGGGACGGGCAATAAATGCTGGACTAGCCAACAATGCCCACACCCCACGAGTGAATAAAAAAAAGTCAAAGTCCCAGGGAGACATGGGACTGCTGTCTCATTAGCAAGAGCCAACCAGTGTTGTTTACCCTAAGGGTCGGCACACCTTAGGTGATGGGGCAAAGTCAAGAAGGCAGCAGCTTCACTGTGACCTCAGACAGTGTGGGAAGTGAAGCTGTACCACTGGCATCACACTGCAGCACAAACCAGCAGTCAAGCCAACTGAGCTAACCAACTCCCCATACACAGTTTCTCAGACAGCGATAAGCCAATTCTGTGGCGCTCCAGAATTTGTCAAAATATTTTCTAGGTAACACTATTTGCTCTTTGCTGAAACATGAGAAATGAGTCCAGCTCAAAACTGATTTCTGCATCCCTCAAATTCTGGCCTCCAGTTTCCATCACTCCATCATTAGTGCCTGTTCCTTCAGTTACCAAAACACAATGGTCCCTACCCAGAGCAGGCACACTTGGCAGTGGTGGGTCACTGCGGCAGTAGCAGTGCCTGGAGCGGGGACTCCTGGCTGCAGTATGCCTGAAGTAAGGGCTGTTGGCGGGATTACATTTGATGTACCCAGAGTGGGAACTCCTTGAGGGACACATTGCAGAGACTTTGCAGAAGCCCGGAGGTTGCGTTTGAAGACCCCTTGTACAGAAGATGAACTCTATTTATGTAATTTCTTTTTATTCTTTTTGCAATTCAAAATTGGTGCCGGATCGTGGCAAGAAAACACATTTCACTGTATCTTTCAAGATACATGTGACAATAAATAATAATTACCACATTTCCACTTCTCTCTGCACAATTACTACCTCTTTACATTAAATATTTTTAATAATGCTCCTATGGACAGTCTTGGAATGTTTTGCAACCTGGAGGGCAAAATGTAAATGTCATTGCTGTTAGCCTCCTAAGAGGAATAATATAAGAAGTACAAGAAAGATTGGCAAGTAGTGTTAGTTAATTTGGCACAGCAGATTTTGTGTAAAACCTGAGTAGGTATAGGACTACATTTATCTCAGCCTTTCCCAAATGCAATTGAAGGATCAAATCTTGGTCAAAAAAAGCATGTATTGCTGATATTACCTGAACCCGTTCTGTCATATTTTCACTCGTCCCATATCTCTCCTCAATAATGGCTTTGATTTGATGAGCTTCGTACTGTAACTGCTGCCGAATCAAATCCATGTGCTTTGAAACCTTGGAAAAACAAACCCAGATAAACTGAACAACAAGGCCAATGACAGTCCAACAGCACAGCTCAAAGAAAGTGCAATTCCCTTTAGTTTTAAAGGACAGAGAAGACTAAGGGGAGAATTAAACGATGAAAGGTTCTGAGAGGGAGAAGCCGTTTCCTATAGCAGGAGAGTCAGTGACCAAGGAAATATATTGAAGATAACTGATGAAAAAACCAGAGGAGAGATAACAGGGAGGACTTTTTAATGAAGTGATTAGTTTTGACCTGGAATGTACTCGCTGAAAGAATGGTGGAAGCTGATTCAATAGTTGCCTTCAAAAGGGAGCTGGATCTATTCTTAAAAAGATAGGGCTATAAGAACATGGAACTAACTGGAGCATTCCTTCATAGAGTACAAGGTTAAAGACCAGAGATGAGAGATGATTTGTTTTTTGTTTCTTGTCTGGTAAGGAATTTTAATACAAAAGCTCCTTTAATAGTGGGAATAGCCTATGTGCTGTAAGACACTTTGATTCTGTCATGTTTTGAAGTGCTACGGGGTTATTCCTTATTTAACAAGTCACTACTGTATTATATGGTAAATCTTAATAGTATTTTGTCTTGCAGAGTGTCACCTAAAAATTCCACCCAAGACTATATTGAAAAAAGTCCAATAAAATGGTGTGAAACAAGACAGTTTTGTGAATGCTATAAGATCAGAGGGTTAAGAGTAGATGGCTCAAGATTACAGTCCTCCTTCACTTTGCTACCATCCCAAAAGATGCAAGGTGAGTCCCACTCTAAAAGGAGCTCTCATATTAAAATCCTTTATCAGACAATGACACAAGAAAAATCATCTCTCACCTTTTCACTTCAACTTCTCCTAATACTCTGTGACCTTTCTATCATCAGCTGTCTCTCTACTTAATCAGCATTCCTATCCATCTGAATGCTTCCATCCTCAAGATTATTTGCCAAAACATTTTTCCATTTCCATAACTTCATTGAGTTGAAATCAAGATTCATTGCAAAGGCTACCATGTAAAAACCGCAAAGCTATGAAGGTTATTAGAGCTGAATTATCAACATGTCAAAGCTTTCTGCCTGGGCTGACCATGCACAGATGAGTAGATTTAACTTAGTGCAATTGTGTGAATGGAAGATTCAACAAGTCAGCACCCAGTTTTACATTACTCCTCATCTGTACTTTCACTGGAGTCAACAGGGAGAGATATAAAATACTGCAGTATTGAAATTCTTTGATGGACTTAAGTTTTTGCAGTGGCCACTGTAAAATAAAATGCAGGATGAACACAGAATCCCTACAGTGTGGAAGCAGGTCATTCAGCCCATTGAGTTCACACCAACCCTCTGAAAAGCATTCCACCCAGACCCAACCCCCTACTGTATCCCTGTAACCCTACCTTTCCCATGGCTGACACACCTGACCTACACATCCCCGAACACTGTGGGCAATTTAGTGTGGCCAGTTCACCTAACTTGCACACCTTTAGACTGTAGGAGGAAACCAGAACACCCCCACACAGACACAGGGCAAACATGCAAACTCCACACAGATGCCCAAGGGTGGAATTGAACCCAGGTCCCTGGTGCTGTGATTCAATAGTGCTAACCACTGAGCTACCGTGCCGGGAACATCTGTTTGACTAATTTGGTCTTTTGCCTCAGATCCCCGGTAATACCTTCCCAGTATGCAATTTTCCGGGAATTTTCTGTAACTCCATTATTTGCGTTTGTGTAGGCACTGGCCCCAGAAACTGCATCTTTTGTTGTTGGGGCTTTCCAGCTAATGTCTGGGGGATGTTCTATCGAGCGTTACAGGATTTGTGCTGGCTCACCCTACCACAGTGGTAATATTATCCACTTCCTCGAGCATAGGTTTTTCAAGAGGCCCTGCCCTTGCACAGAACCCCCTTTCTTCTCTTGCTCTCACAGGTCTTATGGTGTCCGTTAATTAATTGCTGAGAGCTGGTCACCCTGCTTCCTGCTTGCACTCTCATCATATGAAGCAATATGTGTCAGGAAAGCTATTTTAGAAAATCTGTCCCTTTGGCTCCTTGGATATTGACTACAAATGGACTGATAATCTAAAAATGAAAACAGCTGTTACAAATGAAAGTAAAAACTCGCAGTTACTTCACATCTTCTATGTTCCAAGTATTATTTGAAGCATTGTCCGTATTGCGAGAAACTCAGCAGCCAATCTGCACATAATTCCCACCAACTGCGATATTAAATGGGCAAGATAACCTGTTTTTATGATCCTGATTGAACAATAAATATTTGAGTAGAACACCTCTTGTCCATCTTAGTCATTTACATGTACCTGAAAGGGCAGATAGTGTCTGGGTTTAATATCTTAGGTGTCATGGTGGCTCAGTGCCTCACAGCGCTAGGAACCCAGGTTCGATTCCATCCTTGGGTGACTGTCTGTGTGGAGTTTGCACATTCTCCCTGTGTCTGTGCGGGTTTCTTCTGGGTGCTCTGGTTTCCTCCCATAGTCCAAAGACGTGCAGGTTAGATGGATTGGCCATGCTAAATTGCCCATAGTGTTCAGGGATGTGCAGATTGGGGGATGGGTCTGGGTGGGATGTTCTGAGGGTCAGTGTGGACTTGTTGGGCTGAAGGGCCTGTTTCCACACTGTAGGGATTCTATGATCTCATCTAAAAGACAGCACAGTAACCCCCCCACTGTGTAGTCAACTTCACATTATTTCTTTACCCCCTTTATGTTAGTTTGTCAACTCGATATTAAAGGTTAACTTAATTGATCCCACACTCAAAGTTTGTATGTATTGTTCCAAAACTGCAGTGCTGATTCTCCATCTCCTTTCCAGCTTAGGACAGGACTAGTTAATCAAACTGAAATACAACCATCACAATTATATGTTTGAAAGCAATAATGCCTTCTTTGAGCCTAATGGTCTTTCCACATAACAAACTGTTCTTGTGTTGTGTTTACCATATGCATTCTTAGAAATGGAGTTGAACCAAGACTCCCAAGCCATGTTTCTGTTTCCAATGATACTCACAGTCTTGATTTGTGAGAGTTCATCTGCTTGTCTGCCAAGATTTTGGATCTGAGTACAATAAAAGGCTTTCTCTTTCTCTTCCTTTTCAATCTCGGAAAGGAGCTGTGCCCTGCACAGGAAGAAATCAGACAACTTAATGTTAGCCAATAAGCGGCTATTTTCCACAGAATGTCAGAATACGAATGGTGTTGAAATTAGGAACATATTGCCGAAACTCATTAGGACAAAATGCAAAAATGCCAATTTTCAAGTGATCTCGGTATAAGTTGTTGCAATCAGTGGAAATTTGGTTTTCATGTGTTTGCCCTGATGAGTGTGACACAACAGCTTTTGCAACTCTCTTTCCAGAAATTTTCAAGTTCAAAGCAGCTCTGCTGCCAGTTTTGAGCTCAGTGTGGACTGTCCGTCTGCATTGGGAAGCTTTTGTTAGCTGGCCATCGCATTGTGTTTCACCCAGCAATTTTGGTTTATCTTCCCTCTCAGCTGCCCCTCCCTCAGTGCTGCACTGGAGTGTCAGCTCTCTGAAGCGGTCCCGCACGGCGTTCTGTTCAAGGCCATTTAGGGAACAGCAATCCTATGCCGACCCTCCAGCGTCACCCATGTCCCATGAAAGAATATAAACAATTATGTTTGCATGGATTGCTGTATTAAGGTAATTTTGGGGGTGAAAAGTGGCAGTCAGCAGGCTTGATCTTCAGTGATCCTGTGATTGTTTGCAATGGACCATGAATTCAGGAACACAGAAAATCAGCCCTTTCCAACTTCCCTACACCTCACGTGTATTGGCAAGCTGGATCTGTTGTTAATTTTAAATCTGAGATAGATATATTTTTATTAAGCAAAGGGATTAAGCGACATGGGCCAAAGGCAGGTTAGGCCACAGATCAGGCATGATCTCAGTGAATGGCAGAACAGACTCGAGGGGCTGAATGGTTTATTCCAGATCCTATGTTACCATGCTTAAAATACCAGCTTGTTCCCAAAGCCACGCTTTCAAAGCAGTTCAAACAGCTTTTAAGCTGCCTAGAAATACTGTTAAAATGCAGCTGGGATCTTTTTGATGCCAAAGCTAAGATTTCAGAACTAATGACCTGAGTGACTAATGATAAATCCCTCCCCTCCGCTCCAATGCTGTTCCATGATTTACCTTTCTTCATTAAGTTCCTCTAGGTGCTCCACACTTCCACTCGCCACTGGCAATGAATCCTGTTCCAGTGTAATTCCACCACAGTGTGTTTGTTTTCTCTCAGTTGGTTGCTCCAATACATGCTCATCCTGTCCTGAGCACATCATGTTTGATTGCCATTTTATGTCACATAATTTGGCAACATCTGTATTCAACTCTACACAATGAAAAAGAAGAATATTTGACCATGAATCCTCTGGGATTGATAAAACACAAGCTTATTTACAAACATGCCATTCAAACTGGCAAGTCCAATTTTTCCACAATCAACGCAACTTTGCAAAATCATTCCTCTGTCCAACACTCCAGTTTAATAACCTTCTAGAATATAATCTATCTCAGAAGGTCATTACTTTTTGCTTCAAAAGTTCCTTTCATACTCTCAGACTTCCAATTTCAACATAAGTATTTGAACCTCCCATTCAGTGCCAAAGACTTAAAATTCCCTTCTTAGTTGCCCCTTTAATTTCAGGCAGAATTGTACTCTATTATTTATCCCATTTATGTTATTTCTTTTCTGGAATATCAATTCAACCACATGTTGGATTTATCAACCTTTCTGCATCACACATAGTCCCTCAGCTATGGGAGTTGCACAGAAAATACACTTCACTGTTTGTTCCCCCTTTGTCATTTCTGGGAAAAGGGAATATCTCAGTTGACTTTCAAGTGATGGCATGATCTTTGTTGTACCTCACTTAATCTCTAAAAACTGGCCTGACTTAGTTAGCAAATCCACCACCTTGACATCCATGGAACCTGATCTGAGACCTATCACCTTGGAGTGTTGCTGAAAATATACTGGTCGACATGCGTTGACAACAGGCAATACCTCAAAATTTCCACGTCTGCTTATTGGGGTACAGTTACATAAGGGCTGTGTATCTTATTCTACAAATTATTTAGCATAAATAATCTGAAACAATTAGGGATTCAATTCCCATCAGGGTTCAGGAGAACCTGCAGAACTTCCATATCTGAGTGTGGGTAAGTTATTGTGCATTGGGTTATGGCAACTGAGCCCTGCTGTAGGCTCACTTGACACGTACGTGCACATTTTCAATAGACTAGTCTTGGACTGTTTTCATTCATTCAGGAAGGCCAAGTTGCTGTGGCAGCATGTACCTTTACATGCTTGCTATAACCAGGCACTATGTATTATGATGGTAGAGGAACCACTTTGTTTCCATCATCGGGCAGACCAGGAGTCACATTCACTGCCTGCCATTAGCGTACATTAGAAGGATTTGCAGGCTGATAGTTAACATGGTTAGCTGTGTTACGAATGCACCTTCCTAGACATTCAAGTCTTGCAGTGGGACTGAAATGCTAAGTTTATGGCTCAGAGGCAAGGATACTACCCACTACACCATAAGATCCCACAAGTTACACTGACTTATGGAATAGTAATCAGACTTTCTCCTGTTTGTGCTAGAGGCATTATGTCAAGCCATAACACTTCCCAAACCAGGACAGCTGACGGTGCAGACCATGCTCAGACCTGGGACCTATAGCTTGGAATGATGCTGAGTGTCTACTTTTACCCACTCAATCATCTTCGACTGGTTTTTAACTTTCTCAACACCTGACAGTCCCCTGCCTTCCTCAGCATGTGATCATTAGCATCAGAAACATGACCCAATGAGAAGAAAAGGAATAAACAGGTTTGCATTCATATAGCACCTTTCATGACCAAAGAACATGTCATCTCTATAAAGGATTTGTTACAGTCAATGAAGTCATTTTTAAACATAACCACTGTGGTAAAGTAGGAAAGTCAGTGGCCAATTTGCACGCAGCAAGCTCCCACTAAATCATACTTTCTATGATATTGATTTGGGTGAAAAATATTTACCAGACACCGGGGTTCAGTCCCCTGCTCTTCTTCAAAATAATAATAGGAATATTTTACATCCAGCTGAAGGGGTAGTAGGGCCTCAGTTTAACGATCGATCCAAGAGACAGAATCTCCAACAGCACAAACCTCCTCCATCTTACAACTGAAGTGTCAGCCTTGATTTTTTTTTGCTCAAGTCCTGGAGTAGGACTGGAACCTACAGCAACCTGTTTCAGCAGCTATTGTGCAACTAACTGAGGTATCAGTTGACTACAAATGAAAACAGCATGATGATTTTTTGCCTCAGAATATGAAGGAGGCATTTCTGAGGAGGCACTGTAACCTTCAGGTCAGTATTAAATTATCCAGAGGAAATCACCAATGATGCATGGTATATTTGTATGTGAAAGCCTGATGATGCACAAAATAAAATCAATCCTGACGCATAATTGAATTCCGCACATGATTGAGTGTCCACGGAACTTTGAAATTAACTCTGCCACATGCGAAACAGTGTATTTTAAAAATTTACTAGTAAATCATACATGGGATTGCTCTTGATAAATCAGGTGATAATGCGCTTTGTGATAGGACAGGCATGTTATACTGTGTAATTTGCACGTATGGCTTGAGTGAGTGGGGTTCCTGCGTCTGTGCTGATAGCATTGGGTTCAGGCCCCACTTAAATGGACAAGGAAGGTGCATTCATAACATGGTCAAACAAGTTGACTATCACCTTGCAAATCCTTCCAACATATGGCAGGTGATAAGAATGAGAAAGATTCCTCATCAGCCATGTGATAGAAAGAAACTGGGTTCTCCACCATCACTCTCCATAACTCCATGATAACGACGTGCATGTAAAGGTGGATTTTGTCACATAACCCTAACTCCTCGGAGGAACCAGTTGGCCTGACAGACAATGTGGATCAGATTGGTGTTAAGAGCACTGGGTTTTAGTTCCTGTTCTGCCTAGGCTGGATTCAGGATGTGCCTCTTTACCCACAGTGAAGATAACAGTGCTGTGGGAGTGCATGAAGAAGAAAACTTCCGTGATCAAGGTTAATTTGTGTTTTGCAGGATTAACCCTACAAGGTTGTGGGGCTGTAAAAAATTTTATCCTAAAGTCAATTAAAGACTTCATGCAAACTGGGAGGAAAGCTAGTAGACTGACAATTGTAAATCCCAAAGAAATCAGTCCAACTGTCTATTTTGCCTCTTCTAATACCTTCTAATACTTTGTTACTTGGAAATACAACATCCCCAATGAAGTTCTACGATCGTTGTGGGTTGGGTTCAGAGATCAGTAGAGGTGCCTGCCTCAAACTATCTGTATATCAGCATGGACTTCTCTTAGTCCCCATCAACCCCATATCAACAGCCCAATTACTGAGGTCTCAACATATCAATAGTGTTTACAGGCACCAGATACTGCAGGACCAAAACTCACCGGTATTGTTAATCAGGTTAGTTTAATTATTTATCAATAAGAAAAACACATTAACAAGTCCATATTGGTGTAATGTTTGGTGCATCATGCACCCACATGATCTAATTAATGCAGACAATGTTACATTAACCAGATATAGATATTTCTAATATATGGCACACCAGTAGTATAGGTGGGACTTGAACCCAGACCTTCTGGCCCAAAGGTAGGGACAATACCACTGTGAAACAAGAGCCCTCATAACCAGATATGAGCAACCTTTCTGGGTCCACAATGACTTCAACTAGTGGAATCCTTAACTCCAAAATTCCCTCCATAAACCTCTCTATCTCACTTTTCTTTTTTTTAAAATTCTCCTTAAAACTTGCCTCATTGACCAAACAGCAGCTAATATAGAACATAGAACATTACAGCACAGTACAGGCCCTTCTGCCCTCAATGTTGCGCTGACCTGTGAAACCAATCTGAAGCCTATCTATCCTACACTATTCCATTATCATCCATATGTTTATCCAATGACCATTTAAATGCCCTTAAAGTTGGCGAGTCTACTACTTTTGCAGGCAGGGCATTCCACGCCCTTACTACTCTCTGAGTAAAGAACCTACCTCTGACATCTGTCCTATATCTATCACCCTTCAATTTAAAGCTATGTCCCCTCATGCTAGTCATCACCATCCGAGGAAAAAGGCTCCCACTGTCCACCCTATCTAACCCTCTGATCATCTTGTATGTCTCTATTAAGTCACCTCTTAACCTTCTTCTCTCTAACGAAAACAGCCTCAAGTCCCTCAGCCTTTCCTCATAAGACCTTCCCTCCATACCAGGCAACATCCTAGTAAATCTCCTCTGCACCCTTTCCAAGGCTTCCACATCCTTCCTATAATGCGGTGACCAGAATTGTACGCAATACTCCAAGTGCGGCCGCACCAGTGTTTTGTACAGCTGCAACATGACCTCATGGTTCCGAAACTCAATCCCTCTACCAATAAAACCTAACACACCATACGCCTTCTTAACAACGCTATCAACCTGGGTGGCAACTTTCAGTGATCTATGCACATGGACACCGAGATCTCTCTGCTCATCCACACTACCAAGAATCTTACCATTAGCCCAGTACTCTGTATTCCTGTTACTCCTTCCAAAGTGAATCACCTCACACTTTTCCACATTAAACTCCATTTGCCACCTCGCAGCTCAGCTCTGCAGCTTATCTATGTCCCTCTGTAACCTGCAACATCCTTCCGCACTATCCACAACTCCACCGACTTTGGTGTCATCTGCAAATTTACTAAGCCATCCTTCTACGCCCTCATCCAGGCCATTTATAAAAATGACAAACAGCAGTGGCCCCAGAACAGATCCTTGAGGTACACCACTAGTAACTGAACTCCAGGATGAACATTTCCCATCAACCACCACCCTCTGGCTTCTTACAGCTAGCCAATTTCTGATCCAAACCGCTAAATCACCCTCAATGCCATGCCTCCGTATTTTCTGCAATAGCCTACCATGGGGAACCTTATCAAACGCTTTACTGAAATCCATATACACCACATCAACCGCTTTACCCTCATCCACCTGTTTGGTCACCTTCTCGAAGAACTCAATAAGGTTTGTGAGGCATGACCTACCCTTCACAAAACCGTGTTGACTATCCCTAATCAAATTATTCCTTTCTAGATGATTATAAATCCTATCTCTTATAATCCTTTCCAACACTTTACCCACAACCGAAGTAAGGCTCACTGGTTATCTCCCTCTGTGACTCAGTACGTGATGTATCGAGGAAGACAAGGGCAGAGGATTATGGGGGTTTCACCACTTGCAAGTTCCCCTCAAAGCTACATGTCATCTGCATTCAAAAGGCAACATGGTGGCTCAGTGGTTAGCACTGCTGCCTCACGGTGCCCGGGACCTGGGTTCGATTCCACAGTTGGCAACTGTCTGGAGTTTGTACATTCTCCCTGTGCCTGAGTGGGTTTTCCTCTGTGTTCTGGTTTCCTCCCACAGTCCAAAGATGTGCAGGTTAAGTGGATTGGCCATAGGAAATGCAGGGTTACAGGATGGGGTGGGATGAAGTTCAGAGGGCCAATGAGGACTTGATGGGCTGAAAGGCCGACTTCTGCACTTTACAGATTCTATGATTTGGAACTATATCACTACTTGTTTGGTGTTGCTGGGCCAAAATCCTGGGACTTCCACCTTCTTGGTATTGTCGGTTTACTTACAGTGCATGGACTGTAGTGGTTCAAAAAGGCAGCTCACCACCACCCTCTCAAGGGAAACTAAGGATTGGGACTAAATTCTGACCCAGTCGGTGATGCCCACATCCCCCTGTGGGATGTTTTAAAAATAAAATAAAATGTTTTAAAAATATTTTTAAAAGATTATTTAAAAACTTGTTTTACAAACCTATTTAAAACTCATGGAAGCATTTTATTACATTGAAGATGCTAAATAGCTACAAGCTGTTATGTCATAATTAAATATTTCTTTACACAAACCCCAATTTAGTAAAACCCCACAATATACTGGAAAATAATCAGCTCCAAACTACAATCACTGGCTTTTGGTGAGCAAAAAATTCTTTTTTATTTATTCACTGATTGTAAGCATTGCTGGGATTGATTGCCAATCCCTAATTGCCCTGGAGAAGGGGACGGTGAGCTGGCCTCTTCAATAACCACAGTCAGTAGGTGCACCCACAAAGTTTAGGTCGTCAGCCCAGACTAAAGCATCGGTGCAATAGGGAGAGTAAAGTTTTAGTTGGTACACTCTGTTAGAAGATCCAGTTGCAGTTGCCCTCCTCAAAGGTGAAGCAATTGATCAAAGCTTGTTTGATGAAAGCAAGTGCTGCATTGATCCCAGTAACCACCCTCGGTGGGGGTGGGGGAATGGGGCAGGGTGGCAGGGATGTTGGACAGCTACATGGAAGAAGAAATCGATATGAGAAAAGATAAATTGTCGAGGTGGTAAAACCAAGAGCTGGAAAAACAGGATTTGGATAAAATCACAGGGCGGGTAAAATGAGATTACTTTTAAAATCAGGCCTTGATTTAAATGCTGGTTATATTTAGGACAATAATACTAATGCTGTTTGCCGGATCACTACCAGGTATTGCAGAGCTGCATGCCCAGTGCACTTTGTGGAATTGCTATGAATTAAATTAAGGAGCAGACTTTTTCATCTCTGATATAGCCCTGAAATGTGTCCTGTATCACATTGCAGATGAGTGCAGATAACATCTTGCACTGTACTTGGAGCCAGACAGAAATTGCACCAAACTTTGGATTTCTCTTGTTTTTAACATAGTCAGTCTTTACCCTTGCAAGACTTGCATTAAAGACTGACTTGCATTTATATAGCACCATTCATGATGCCAAGATATCCCAAGTCACTGTACACAGCCAATGAAGTATTTTTTCTATTGATTATTGTAGTATCAGAAAACAGACAGACAATTTTCACTGTATCAAAGTCCCAGAAGCAGTAATGTGAAAACGGCCAGGATTTTAGGTGCAGTTGACAGATAAATATTAGCCAAACGCAAGAGAGAATTTCTCTGTTCTTCAAAAAAAGTGCCATTGAATCTTTTGCATGGATCTGAAAAGGCAGAAGAGGATCTGGATTTACACTTCATCTGAAAGGCAGAACCCCCAGTTATGTTGCACTCCCTCAGTACCGCACTGGAGAATCAGCCTAGCTTTTATGGTCAAGTCACTGAATGGGGCTTGACCTACCTACAACCTTTTGGCTCTGATACCAGATAACCCTTCGGGGTGGACTTCAGCAAGTCTGAAACTAACTTCTTTTGATATTTGTCCCACTCATTCAATTTGAAGGAAGGAATGTTATGATGGAGAAACCTTTTTTTCTTTTTAAATAGCAAGCAAACACAGAGAATGCTGGAGAAACTCAGCAGGTCTGGCAGTGTCTGTGGAGAGAAACAGAGTTAACATTTCGAGTCTGGTATTTCTCTTCTTCAGAATAGAACACTTCTATCAGATGGATTTCCCATCATTACATTGCATATGAAGATTTCAATCCTACCTTTCAGCTGGTCCAGGATTTCAATTCTTCCAGTCGATGCTAAGTTGCAAGCTTCTTGCTCCAGCTTGGTCTGGAGTTGCTTTAACATTTCCTGCAGTAGGTAATTGAGGGTAATCAGTACACCTAACATCCTGGTACAACAGGTGGGACACACACAGAAAAATTGGGCAGTCAGAAGATCTTTTCCAAAAGAGGATCCTGTGGTATCCAAACTGCTCGAGGGTGTGACTTTTAATTTCGTTTTCCTTTCAGTCTCTGCCAAATTTGCAAACACCAATTGCACCATCCATCCTGTTTGTTTATAGTACCCAGCGCTGGAATGGAGGCATTTATTGGAGACACTGTAAAAGCAACAATCAGCTATGCATTAAATCTGTTTAGGAGATCTCCTCAGCTTCACTGGTGAAAGCTCTGTTTGGTAAATGTCTGATTTAGGTCACTTTCATCACCCTTAATACCATGTCCTCTGGCTGCGTACAAAATCAATGTTGCAATAAAGGATGTGCCCTTGCAATTGTAAATGTTCTCCTATCGATCTTGTGATCCTTTACCTTTTTTCCGCCTACATTCCCATTTAAATATGCTATACACCATTATAACTGCAACAAATCAATACTAAACACATCCTGTTCTGCAGAGGCAATGCGTGATGCTGTGAGAACTCTTGTTACCTTTCAGGCTGAAATAATGAACAGGCCTTTACTCTTGGCAGCGTCCAAAAGGAAGTGGATGAGCTTAGTTCCTGCTTAATAACATTGCTGCTACGTAGGGATCAGCATTACACGGCCTTTTACCTTCAAATACGCTGCACTCTTAACTCCAAAGATTAAGCCAAACATTATTTAGAGCAGTGATTGATACCGCAATGTTAAGTGAAAAAAATCAAAGACAGCATTAATGCGGCCACAGGCTGGATTTCAGCACCTTCCTAGGCTTCATTAGTTCTTCACATCGTTGCAAAGTGCTCAGAAGAAGACGCTGCTCCAGTTGGTGATTAAAAAGCTGCTTGCTGCATCTAGCTCCTGTGTGAATTCCATCGATCACTTTGAAAGCGCTGTGCTTTCTGTGTTGGTATTACCCAGGATAGACACAGTAACTGGTCTAATTCCACAGCAATGCCACTGTACATCCAACATTCACTCCCAGCAGTAACCGCTCTGGAAAGGATAGTTGCACATGACATCAACTTCCAAACACACATGCACCAGCTGCATCCTGCCGTTTTATGGTTTAATTGGAAGGGGAAATCACATCAAAGCACAGCTAAATGTGGAGTTTCCAGGTTGCTACACATTTTGGCTTGCATGTGCTGTTCTGCAGATGGACTGTGTTGAGCGTGATTAAATCAGAGAATCAAGTTGCTTTAGGCTTGCTGTATCGGAACAAGATGCAGCTGCACACAGCCCTATATCCTGCTCGGTTCCAACCACTACATCAAAACCAGCAGGCAATGGATCTTCTGAGACTGGGGCTCAGTACCTCCCAAAAGCACCCGCCCAGGAAAGATTTAAAATGCAATTTCAGAAGTCTGATGCAGTACATCAATAAAACACCAGAATCAATGCATCACAGTGCCATCACCTGACAGTGAAACACTTCTCAGAAAGCAACACCAGCATAGCATTATTGATAGCTACAACAGAGAAGGTAATCCCGCCTGCTAACTCCATGTCTCTCTGAAAGACCATTCAGTTCATCCCACACTCCCGGTCTTTTCTCAGTGTTTGCTTCCCTGCAGGTGCTTTTCCAATGACCTTTTGAAAACCACGATTGAATCTACCTCCACCACCCTCTCAGGCAGTGCATTCCAAATCAACAATACTTTCATGGGTTATGGACATTGCTGGCTAAGCCAGACTTCAGTGCTCATCCCCAGTAGTCCTGGTGGTCTTGAGATGCAGGTCTTAGAGTGTAGGGATAGCTACAATGCTGTTAGTAACAGAGTTCCAGGATTCTGAACCAGGAACAGCAATATATTGGAAGTTGGCATGGTGTGTGACTGGGAGGGGAACCTGCAGTGTTCCCAAGCATGTGCTACCCTTATCTTTCTAGGCAGTGGAGGCTGCAGACTTGGAAGGTGGTGTCAGAGAAGATTTGGTGAGTTACTGCAATGCACCTTGTAGATGGTCCAGAATGCTGCCATTCTTCATTGATTGTAAAGGGAATCAGTGTTTGTGGGCATGCTTCTAATCGAGCCATCTGTTTGGTCCTGGATGACGTTAAGCCTCTTGAGCATTATTGGAGCTGCACCCACCCAGGTAAGTGAAGTGTAGTCTATCACACTCCTAGTTTGTGTCTTGTAGATGGTGGACAGAGACGTGGGAGACAAGAGGCGAGTTACTTGCCACAGAATTCCTAAGCTCTGGCCTACTCCAGTATTTACAGTATTTGTACACCTGGTCCAGTTCAGTTCTGGTCAGTGGTAAGACCAGGATGTTAACAGCAGTGGATTCTGTGATGGTCATTGACTGTCAAAGGGCAATGATTTAGGTGCTCTCTTATTGGAGATTGTCATTGCCTAGTACCTGAGTGGTGCAGACGCAGTGTAAAAATGTTTTCTCCTCGCATTGCCTTTGGTTCTGATGTCGTCACCTTAAATCAGTGTCCATGGCCCTTTGACAATGGGAACAGTTTCTCCCAATCTCCTTTGTTTGACCCCCTCATTACCATGAACGCCTCTGTCAAATCTCTTCTTGACAGGTGGCAAGGCCCATTAAACCTGCCACTTGTTTGTGTTTGTCTTTTGGGGCATTTGAATCTAACTCAGCAAGTAGGAAACACTTGGGATTGGGCAGAAGATTAGTATGACAAGACATCGAAGCAAAACTAGACCATTCAGCCCATCCAGTCTTCTCCACCATTCAATAAGATCATGGCTGATCTGATAATCCTCAACTCCACTTTCCTGCCTTTTCCCCATAGCCCTTAATTCTTTTACTAATTAAAAATCTATCTGTCTGTCTTAGGCTTAAATATACGTAATGATTTTTTTTAATATCCCTCTGCAGTGAAGAATTCCTCAGATACACTAAGCTCTGAGAGAAGGGATTTCTTCTCATCTCTGTGTTATGTGACCCCTTACTCTGAGATTATGCTGTCTGGTCCTTGACTCTGTCACAAGGGGAAACAACTTCTCTGCAATAATCCCACAAAGTCCCCTGTGAATTTTGCATTCTTCAATAAGGTTTTCTCTCATTTTCTAAACTCCATGTATAGGCCCAACTTACTCATTTATGCCTCATAAGGAAAGTCCTCCATACTCAAGATCTATCCTGCTTGTTATCTCTTGTAAGAATTCTAATAATTTTGTCGGATGTGATTTCCCCTTTGTGAAACCATGCTGACTCTGTTTGGTCATAGTATGGTCATACTCTGCTACTACATTCTTTATACTAGACTCTAACATTTTCTCAATAACAGATGTTACGCTAACTGTCTTTTTCTCCATTCATTTCTGAATAAGGGTGTTACATTGGCAGTTTCTCAATCCTCTAGAGCTTTTCCAGAATCTGAGGATTCTCGGAAGATTACTGTCAGTGCATTCACTATCTCTGTAGCTACTTACTGTAATATCCTAGGATGCATTCCATCAGGTTCAGGGTATTTATCAGCTTTTAGCCACATTATGTTCCCACTCCAGTGAGATTTATTGTATTTATTTAGTATTTTTGGAATGTCATTAGTGTCTTCAGCCATGAGGTTTGATGCAAAGCATTTCATTACAGAATCCCTACAGTATGGAAGCAGGCCATTCAGCTCACCGAGTCCACACTGACCCTCCGAAGAGACCCACCAGCACCCCTCCCTAACCCTATCCCTATCCCTATAACCCTGCATTTCCCACGGCCAATCCACCTAGCCTGCACATCCTTGGACACCACAGGCAATCGAGCATGGCCAATCCACCGAACCTGACCAATTTTGGATTGTGGGAGGAAACCAGAGCATTCAGAGGTAACCCACACAGACACAGGGAGAATGTGCAAACTCCACACACACAGTCGCCTGAAGCTGGAATTGAACCCGAGTCTGTGGCGCTGTGAGGTAGCAGTGCTAACCTCTGAATCACTGTGCTGCCCTCCTCTGCCATTTCCTGGTTTCCCACTATTTCCCAACATTATTTCTCCAGCCACATTCCCTAATGGGCCTATGTTCACTTTGGCCTCTCTCTCTCTACCTTTTTTAATACCCCACCCAATGAGACAGCCTGTTGAGTTCAATAGGGGAGTAGAATTGGGTGAGGTGGAAAGCCATTTTTTTTACCCAGAATACTGCCAGATTTTTAATCAGCATATTAGAATAAAGTTACCCACTGCTGTGTTAGCTTGGTTAATATTTTGTCTGTGCAATCAAGTATTAATTGCTTGCATGATAGATAAGGAGACTTTTGTCATCAAAAACACTTTGTAGGCTTTCCATTCAAATGCTAAGTCGGTGCTGCATAGCAAATTCTAAAATATGCAAACTGCAGGTACCAACATTCTGAAATGGAGTTTGTCAGTGAAAACAAAACAGAGCTCTTTCTAGAGGTCAAGACATTAACATAGCAGCTTTAACATAAAAATGTGCCATGGTGTCTCACACCAAGAATACATAGAGGAATGGATGATAGGCCCCAGAGAGCAAGACTATGAAGGGAGACCAAATGTATGATGAAAATTATGGGTTATGCATGTGTTTTCCATAAATGGAAAGAAAATTGAAGAGGTGGATACATTTCCACAGGAAACAGCATAAAACAGAGCTAAGGCTACTGTGGAATCTAATGAAAACTCATTTATGAAATCAAATATTCCTACCCAAATCTCTTTAGTTTAGTAGTTAGTGTAGTTTGGGGTTTGGAGTATACAAATATGAGAAACAGAAGCATGAGTAAGCCATTTGGCTCTGCCTTTCAATAGAATCATCATTGATTCTCTAGCTCAATCCCGCTTTCTTGCCTATCTCCAAATCTTCTAATTCCTCCAGTGCACAAAACTCTGTCACTCTCTTCCTTGGGTTAGAGACTTCGAAGCGTCACAACACTTCAAACGAAGAGATGTCTCCTTAGCTTAGTCCTAAATGGCTGACACTTTAGTGTGACATTGTGAC